TATGACAGGCACAAGAGCACTGTTTTTGTTTTGTTTTGTTTGTACCTCAGGTTTGATCCCCAGCATTCACATAGTGGCTCACGACTACCTACCTATAACTCCAGTTTCAGGGGATGAGATGCCCTCTTCTGGTCTCCAAGGGCACTGCATACATGTGGCAAACAGACATTCCAAGCAAAAACACCCATGACACACAAAATGATAAAATAAAATCTCTTTAAATAGTAGCAGATGGGTGTAGAGTTAAGTACCCACAGTCCCTGAAAAGATACACACTTCCAGGAATGCTCTTGACAGAAACGCTGGCTGAACTTAATCATGAGGACAGATCCAAACTGACATTTCATAGGCATTCTCCAAAATAACCTGCTGGCGCTCCTTGTCTCATGAGACTAGATTACCACAGATGGGAAGAGACCAGGGAGTCAATACAAGAACGCCAAACAGTTCTGGACAGAAAAAGGAGTTAGGAAGACAGAGGGCAGACTTGAGCACAGTTCCTTCGTTAGCTCACAGCATTCTTTCAGCACTACTAACACAACTTGTTAACTTGTTGTTGCTGTTGGCTTGGGTTGAGACGGTGGCGTCTTAATTATGTGTCTCAGCCTGGCCTTAAACGCAACTGCTACTGAGTATCCTGTGCTTAGATGGGGGGGGGGGTTGTTTTTCTTTATTGGGTTGTGGTGTTTTGTTTTGAGATAGGGGCTCTTTCTTATGTAGCTCTGACTATTCTGGAACTCGCTATGTAGATCAGGCTGGCCTCGAATTTACAGAGATCCACCTGTCTCTGCCTCCTAAGTGATGGAATTAAAGGAGTATGCTATGTTTTTTAAGTTTCTCTGTTTAAAGGGTTTTTGTTTTGTTTTGTTTTTAATTTTTAGATTTCTTTATTTTATGTTGCAAACATTTTCCCTACATGTATGTACATAAACCACGTATGTGTCTGGTGCCTGTGAAGATTAGAAAAGGGTGCCATATCCCTTGGAACTTGACTTAAGGATGGTTGTGAGCCACCACATAGGTGCTAGGATCCTGTGTCCTCTACAAGAGCAGCAAGTACTCCAAACCACTAAGTGATCTCTCCAGCCCTGATTTAAACATTTTAACAACTAGAAAATGTTAGCTATACATTGGGAGCTTCTTCTCCAAGAGCCCGAACAGGAGACACACAAAACAGTAGTTCCACAGGTAGTAAGTAATCAGGAGCCAGTCAACACAGCTTCTAGTTTCTCCACCATTGAGAAAGGCTAGGGAAAAACTACAATGAATGGCAGCTAATAGCCAAGCCAGGCCCACAGAACACACAATGCAGAGAAGGTAACCCAGGCACAAGCAGGAACCCCTAGAGAGCTCCCGCTTGCCAGAGCACGAGGGTACACCAAAGTTCTTACAGCGCTCAAAAGAAATAAAGTTCCAAATCTGTAGGTAGAGCACACATCTGATATGCTGGCAATGATCAAATACGGCAGTCAAAACATATTGTTACTCGATTAAGAGAAAGTTGAGCTTACTAGCCTGAGCAGCACATATCGGGGACCCTCAAGATTTCAAGGCCTCGTTTACAATCTGCTCAGGAGTTCCAAGGAAAGCCCACCTCGGAGTAGTCTGGAGGTCGACAGGGATGAAGGAGTCACGGGGTGTGCCCCCCACAACTCAGAGACCTAAGCAGCCAGAGGCCAGCTCCTTCGGCCACACCCCATCTCTGCCACACCCCTCCCTTTCTCCTCACCCTACCTTCAGGAAGTTAGTAAAGTAGAAAGACAACGGGTGTTGCATCCAAAAGTAGGTAAAGGAATGTCACACGCAGAGAACTCACACAAAACCACACCACACACACACAAACGACTGTCCCCTGTAAAGGTCCCTTAGCAAAGCACCAAACTGACACTTGTCTTTAAACGGTTGTCCAAAACTCTTCAAAATCATATTAAAGGTGAGTCACTGGGCTGTGAGTTAAAGCCACTGTTGGGTAAAGCCATTGCCGTACGAACCAAGCCACTTACATTCAATCCCCCAAACTCAGAGAGGCGGAAGGAGAGGACCTACTCCACGAGGTCATTCTCACGCACGGCAGCACGGCATGGGTGTCCGTACACACACCATAATCAATAAAGTAAACTTTAAAGATAAGCCATTCATTTACGTTATCATCTTTTATGAACAACAATACCTCTTTTAGTTCACTTTAGGCCACTTTTCGTAAATTAACTACAGCGATAACTACGAGATGGACAACACATTAACATAACGAGAAGTAAATCTACCTGAGCTGCAAAGGCCCCTCTGGCCCCCTCCAGGGCGTTGCTGCATGACCTGCTCCCACAAGCAGCCCCTCCGTCGGGGAGCTCACTGTCTGGAGTGGCTACCGGACCCTCCTCCTGGACAGGCGCATTGACAGCCGGACCCTTCCTCTTCGCCGTCTTTTTCTTCGAATTCGGACCGTCACCTTTTGTTTTTCTCTGTCGGAAGCTAGCAAGCTGCGGAAAAATTTAGAGAAGTAGTAGAAACAGAGGTAGACGAGAAAAAAGTAACAAAGCCACAGAGTCAGCACGCTCGTGGGGAGCATGGGGTCTGAGCTAGCTCAGTCCACTCAGCCACACGAGGCCAAGGGACCGCTTTCCCAGAAAACACTGCCTTCATTGACATCTATGACCTTGGCATTAAGCTCCAAATTATACTGAGTCCACTAATGACTATTAATTATGCCTAGATGCAGACAAAAGAAAAAAATATGGCTGGTTAGGAGAATAGCTGCTCTAATACTTGGCAGTTTATAGAAAATTTAAAAGTGCATCCATTTAATACACTGAGAGCTTAATTAAGGCATATGTAAACCTTCAAACTATTACATAAAGCTCCCTCCTGCCCCCATTCCCTCTTTGCCCCCATTCTTCTCTAATCGAAGAAATGTATCGCCCAGCCAAAACTTCCTTGCCATAGATTCTGAGACAAGGTACAGAAATAGCAAAAACTTAATCAAGCCAGGTCACTCTAGCATCTTCCTTTATGGAATCAGATGTTCTATTTTTCATGACACAGCTCAGCAAAGCACTAGGGACCATCAGGGAATGTTGCCTGCCAGTCAGAGGCACAGCCTCGCTTCTTTCAGTGTCTCAAATACAAGATTTTCGACTGCATTCACACACCATCTCCCACTCAAACCCCACTCAAAAAGCAAGCACCAAAGCTTGAGCTTTTTCACAGGGGAACACCTAAGTCCCTCAAGAAACAGCCATGACCATACAAGCAAATGTGCCCCGTCAATGAACACGGAAACACATGATTTCATCAGCAGAGAAAATAAACAAGGCCATTTATCTGTGTGAAAAGAAATCTGAAGGACCACACAGCCTACAGTACCAACTCTGTTCTCATCCATTGCCTTCTTCCATCAAATGCAACTATCTGTTACAAAGCTCTCCTCTGCAGCACAGACCTGCTCTCTGGCTATGGTCATTGAACGGTGGCCTCTTGGTTCTTCTCCTCGGTCTCCCTCTCCCTGAAGTCCATCTACTGGTGTTCACAAACCACTCAAGCGCAGACACCAGTTCCCCAAGTTGAAATGCTGAACTCGGTACTCCCTCATTTCTCACGCGTCTGGCTTATAAAAAGAAGAGGGGATCTCTACATCCCTCTTCGCACCTACCGCCTATCAAAGGGGAAAAGACCACTATGTCTTTCTGGCTGTCACCTGCTGACACTGCTGTACTATCATTTCCACTGTGTATGTATTTTGTATGTTAGCGCGCGGGGGGGGGGGGGGGGGCAGGTTGATTCAAATGAAGGATTGCTCCTACTAGGTAACTAGGCTAATCCACAAAATCAACACAGCCGTTTCATGGTGGTTATACCTAGTCCTAGGCTGACAAAATGGGGAACTATCCTCTGGTGCCACAGCCATGGCTGGTGCCAGGGATCTACTTCCAAAACGTTCGCACCTTCTCTTCCTCTAGGAACCCATCACTTTTCAAACAACTATCTTAACGGCCACAAATACCCCCAGGATAGAGTATCAAACAAAATCGAAATCTGGAGCAGAGGGAGATTAAAAAAGAGCACCATCAGAAGTATCGCAGCTGCACGGCCCTGCCAGAGAGCGAACAACCAAACACAGAGCCAGAGCACCACACGGGAGCAGAAGCTCGTGGTTCCCGGGAAAACGAAGTCTGAAGGCAGTTTTTAAAAAGCCTTGGACAGGTCCACCCCGGCCACCGGAAGCACAACAACCAGGAATGCTAGGCGATCAGGACACGCCCACAGCGCTCGGCCCGCCTACGAGGCACGTGCGTCTCAGACGCTGATTGGCCGGGGCTGCAGCGGGGCGGGGCGAGGCCGAGGGCGGTGGATTCAAGATGGCGGCGGCTAGGAAGTGAATTCCGGAGAAGCGGCGGGAAGGGCGAGCGCTCGCTCGGCAGCTTCCACCGCTCCGCCACCACCGCTTCGGTCAAGCGGCAGTGTGAGCACCGGAACCCCCATAGGATTTCCCTCCACGGCAAAAGCGGAGAGGAGGACGCTACCTTGGCTCTCCCAGCTTCCACTTTCCTGCGGCGCTGCTCCTGTTCGTCTTCTTCCATCTCCAACCGGGGCTCCTCGAGAGTGGCTCGGAGGGGGGCAGGACCGCCGCGAACCCTCCTGTCGCTCTATTTACACTCCCTCCCTTCACCCACTCGCGTCCCCACCCCCCACGCACGCAACTGTCAGCACCGCCCCGCGGCACCGCCAATCCGGAGCCGTGTGCGGACTTGCGCACGCGCGCTCCCGTGCCGCCGCGGGGGCGGGGCGCCCTCTCTCCGGCCTCCCATTGGTGCATTGACGCTCCCCACCCTTTGCAGCAACACCAATAAGCGGGAGGCAGTGTGCCCGGGACTCGCGGCTGTTCGTCAACCGTCCGGCGGGAAGGTTCGCGCAAACCGTTTCCCGGCGGCGGCGGCACTGCCTAGCGCCCCCTCCCGACAGGAGGAGGACTCACACGCGAGCGGCTGTCCAAGCTTCGGCCTCACTCCTTCCAACTCTCTTGGCGAAACTTGCAAAAGTCGTTTTTCGAATCCCCTGTCGCCTTAAGCCCCACAGTTCCTCCGCATTGGTAGGACGCTAGCCTCCCTGTTAATCCTCCTAGGGAGGATGCTGTGAATTTTTTTGGTCCACTGGTGCAGTCAGCCTGTCGGTTCACTTAGATTCTTCCTACCTCCCTGGCCCTCCCTTGACCTTTTCTGCCCCTCCTAAATACTGACCTCTGTCTTCAACCTAGACCCAAAGAGCCGAAAACTTGGACTGGTGTCCCCAGTGGGCCCGGAGTTGCCACTGAGGGCCGTTGTGTATTCATGCACACTCTTCTATGCACAGCATCACTGTGTTCAGGCTCCTGATTGGGACTCTACCTGGAAACAGTCTCCCTGGTGTAAGAAAATAAATCAATTATGGTCCATTTTAAATAAAAGGCACGTTTAGAACTCATCAATGAATCACATATAACCAGGAAGGATTAGGGCCCTGTCTTCCCTAGCCAACAGCTAGTGCCTGCTTGCTGAACACTTTTTATCTTTAGGTTGAAAAGTTACAGGCTGTTATGGGACTAAGCCAATGTATTTGAAAAAGGAGGGGATCTTGAGCTCCAGGATATATGTTCGATAAGGCTTTGCGTCCTGCATCAATCGGATGGGGAATCTGGAGAGAGGATAACACTTGGAAGATTGTACCTCCCCAAAGGATTCAGCATTGAGGAATTCGGACACAGGGAAATGCATTTAGGGCTATAAAAACTACTTTATACCTAATCTGCGTGCAGCCATTTTTGCCTTCTCACTTAATGTAATTGCTTCACTTTCTTTACTCAGAGTTTCCAGGAGTCTTATGAAGGGTTTCTCACACTGATGAAAATGCTGGTAGGGTGGGGTGTTCCCTCTGGGCTGACCTGTCCTTCAGGATATGTTGGTCTCTTTGAGCAATGCAATTTTTTTTTTTTTAACCGAGGCCAGTTGGCCTGGAACTCAGAGATCCACCTGACTCTGCCTCCCCAGTGCTGGGATTAAAGGGGTGCACACCACTGCCACGCAGAGCAATGCAATATTTTTAAAATGTCTGGGGATCATATTTTATATATTAAAAATTGGGGGACTAGAGAGAGAGAGAGCTCAGCAATTAAGAGCACTAGCTGCTCTTCCAGAGGACCCTGGCTCAACTCCCAGCATGGGATGGTAGCTCACAATCGTCTGTAACTCCAGTTCAGGGTATCTGATGCTCAGCTCTAGCTTCTGAGGGCACTAAGCACACATGTGGTGCACATATATACATGTAGGCAAAACAGTCATACACATAAGTTTAAAATCTTAAAAAAAAAAAAAAAAACCTAAAATGAATATGTGTCTCAGTGGAAATGGCAGATACCCTCAGAGGCCAGAGGAAGGTACTGGATCCCCTTAAGCTGGAGTTACAGGCAGTTCTGAGTTGCCAGGTGTGGGTTCTGGGACCTAAATTCAGCTCCTCTGCCAAAGCAGTAGGCTCTTAACCACTGAGCCATCTCTAGTTCCTGGGGTGAGTGTGAGTGGGGTGTAGCCTGGAGCTGGGTGTGGTCACTCAGGCTTATAGCCTCAGCACTTGAGAGACTGGGGCAGGTGGATCTCTGTTAGTTTCAAGCCACTCTGATCTACATAGAGAATTCCAGGCTAGCCAGGGCTACATAGACCCTGTCTCAAAAATGCATAAAGAATAAGAAATAAAAATATTGGAAGCTGGAAAAATGATTTAGAGTATGTCTTAGTGTTAATGTTGCTATGATGAAATACCATGACCAAAAGCAAGTTGGTGGAGAAAGGGTTTATTTACCTTACATATCCTGAATCACACACAGTTGATTAACTATCAATGCCTGGAGGACCAGCCTCCAGCAGCACAGGTCTCAAAAAGGAATCCATGGCATCAGTGTGTACTAAGATGTCTATCTGAGGCGGTAGGAAAAAAGACACTCACACTCTTCTTGATGGTTTCTTCTTTATTCTTTTGTGTTCTTTCCTTGTTCTTTCATTGTTGGTTGAAGAAAAAAGGCACTCCAAGATGAAATTTCAAGGCCTTTGTGACAGCAGGAAGGTCCAGCCTCTCTGATGGACTGAACCCCAAACAGCCATACAATGGTGTATTTATTGATTGTTACACAAAGTATTTCCTCATACCAAGATTCCTAATCATAATTTACATGTCTTACCGAAGGAGAGCATCACATGCCTCCATGACTTTAGTCCTTTATTATGTATCGTGTGCAATACACAGTAATACAAGAGCCTCAGGTGTGCTTGAGGCATATTGTGACCAAAGCCATGGGATGGCTGCAAAGCTCCTTCAGCAAAACAACTATGTTCTCCATAAGGATTCCTCAAGGTCAAAGCACCTCTAAAAAAAAACAAAAAAACAAAAACAAAAAAAAAACAAAAAAACAGCTGTTCATTCTAATATCTACCCCATACAGTCTTAAAGGAATCACAAACCTAAACTTTTATACATTAAAAAAAAACAGTCAGCTGTACTTTAGATCTTTAGGGTGCATACACATTCATCAATATTTTTTTTTCTATATCAGGAGATTGAGGGCAAGAATGAGTACAAAGAATTAATCATCACCTTTGATCATCAACCAACCCTAGCAAGAAAATATGTCAGCTAGTAACAGTTGGGCTGTTTTGTATTTTTGACCTCGGCTATGTGTCCTTGTGAACTTTAAATTGTTTTCTGAGGCTTTTCATCTTAAGGTTATTATCAAAACATCTGATTTAACCTGAAGTTAGTATAAGGCTTTGTTTCAGCTAATGATGCACACGGAAACCTCTGACTGTGTCTTTCAACATTAAGATTAAAGGAATTTGAGCCAGCCTGGCTCCTGGGACTCAACTGTTTCTCTTAATCATCAACTTGAGCAACCGTCCATACAGCTCCCTAAGTGAAACTCATAGGCCCCAGTTGTGTGATACAGGGATACACCTCCCTGTATCCACCTTCACTCATCAAAACTCTGCATAAGCCAACACCACTACCATCAATCAGATGGTACAAACCATCCCCACAATAACAATCCACAGGTCAAAAGACATCCCAGGGTCTGTGGTTGGACCCAACTGAGATTGGGGTGGGGTGGGGCACCTTCTGGTGGGCTGACATCTCCTAAACTCAACTGCCACCCACTGTTCCTCTGATGTGGCCACTGGCAACTAACAGAAGCCGAGGCAACAACTGAAACTGGATCCTTGGAGCAAGAGTTGATGCAGAGGTCATGGAGAAGTGCTGCTTACTGGCTTGCTCAACCTGCTATAGAACGCAGGGGAATCCCTACCCACCCACAATGGGTGGGCCTCCCCCCCCCATCACTCACTTATTAAGAAAATCCCTCCTGGGTGTAGTGGCACATGTCTTTAATCCCAACAGTGGGGAGGCAAAGGCAGGTGGGTCTCTGAGTTTGAGGTCAGCCAGGCTCCATAGAGAGACCCTATCTAAAGAAAAAATAAAGACCTTCCTGCTTACAGCCTAATCTTAGGGAGACATTTTCTCAACTGGGGTTCCCTTCTCTCAGAAGACCCTAGCTTGTACCAAGTTGACATGAAACCAGGAGCCAGGACCGATTACTTACTGCTCTTGCAAAGGACCAGTTTGGTTTCCAGCACCCAGGTCAGGCGGCTCACAACTGCATACATATGATGCCAGCTTCAGGAGGAATTAGATGCCTCTGATCCTGACAGCACAAGCTCATGTACAGACACATACATACACATAATTTGAACTGATAAAAATAAATCTTTAAAATATAACTAAAAAATAAAATATTCAAGGCTGAGCAATGCCTCGGGGGTTGGGACACTTGCTGTTCTTTCAGAATGTTATAGGGGTTTGGGGTAAGGGGCACCTTCAAGGAGTACCACTCAGTTCAATCCATAGGATGGACAAAGAATTGAATGTCCTGGGAAGAAGACCAATGTGGAGAAAACGAAAGTGTCAGGCTTGAGAATGGGGCAGCGTTCGAAGCCAGAAAAGTGAGAATAACATACTGGAGAACAGGAAGTGGCTAGCTTCTTCCTCCAAGGGATGAGGGGAAGAAGTAACCCCAAAGTCAAGCAGCAGCCACTCTGTTATTGTTTTGTCTGACATTCTTTTGTTATATATGCAGAGCTTTTATTAAATACACAGGATTATCCTGTCAAACAATCAGAACAAGGCATTCTACAGGCAATCTTCCCCACAAACAGATTTAGGTAAAACTGCATGTAGCACTCGACAGGCTATCAAAACTTAAGACTTCAGTATTGATTTCAGTTCTGAGGCCACACACAAATAATTCAAAACACTAAATGCATTAAGGTGACAAGTGAGCAGAAAGACTAAATAGATGTGTATTTGCCTGCATAGAGTAACAATGTGGATGGTGGATACTGTGCATTTCTTATAGTTCTTCGATATGGTGTGAGGGCAGCTGGATGTTCAGGCGAATGCATGTCAAGGAAGCAGCTGCTGTGACTAGCTGGAGCTTCACCAAGGACTCACTGCTTCTCTGTCTCTTGTAGGTGGAGTTTTCCTTTCCTCACCACCTGTTCCCAAATAACTGGCAGCCACTTCCCAAATAACTGACTAAGAGACTTAATATAAATTATAAATGCTCGGCCGATAGCTCAGGCTTGTTTCTAGCTACTGCTTACATTTAAATTAACACATATTTCTTACCTATGCTTTGCCATGTGGCTTGGTACCTTTTCTCAGTATGGCATGCTCATCTTGCTTCTCTGTGTCTCCTCATGACTCTCTTGACTCCACTCTTCTTCATCTCAGCATCCTCAGTTTGGTCGCCCCGCCTATACTTCCTGCCTGGCTATCAGCAAATCAGCTTTTTATTAAACCAATTTGAGTGACAAATCTTCACAGTGTATAAAAGGATTATTCCATAGCAGCCTCTCCTTTCTTAGAGCCTTATTTCAGTGTGTAATCAGCCAGGGAGGCCTTGATGGTATCCCCTGATATTGAGCACTGTAGTTTCATGGGTGGAAGGCAGAGCTCCTGGGCAGTATCTGTGTTTTTAATGATCAAATCTTCCTCCATTGACTTCATTCTCACCCATTTGGAGGCTACAGAGCTGGAGGCAATTGCAGAAAGGCAACCAAATGTTTTAAACCTAGCATCCAAGATCTTCTTTTTGGGCTTGGGGATTTAGCTCAGTGGTAGAGCGTTTGCCTAGCTAAGCGCAAGGCCCTGGGTTCGATCCTCAGCTCCAAAAACAAAACAAACAAACAAACAAGATCATCTTTTCATACATTTGAATCTCCAATCTCATGACATCAGTGTTAGAGCCAAAGTCAACCCCCAAAATGGCAGTGTCATTCACAATCTCATAAATGACAGTCCAGGCTCAGCTCAGGCTGGACTCTGACCAGGTAAATAGAAGGATTGCTAGCAGTTAAAGAAAAAGCCTAGCGAGGCAGTGGTGGCATATGTCTTAATCCCAGCACTCGGGAGGCAGAGCCAGGTGGATCTCTGTGAGTTCGAGGCCAGCTTGGTCTACAGAGTGAGATCCAGGACAGACACCAAAACTACACTGAGAAACCCTGATTTGGGAAAAAAAAAATCATTTTGCATAAACTTGTGAATCAGGTTTGTTTGTCAGAAAGAGCTGTTACTTCGCTTGTCCCCCGCTAAAGCCATACCTCCAGCAATGGGGTATCAAGTTCCCTGTTAACACATACCTGTAACCCATATCACAAGCTCCCAGGCTCTTCTGGCTTACAAAACACCCCAGACCCTCCTTCCTACCCACCACCATTCTAACTTACGGGCTGTTCCCACTTACATGCTTCCTCCCACCGCAAACATACCCCTTTAAAAAAGGCAAAGCTTTCTCCACCTTTCGCTATTTTCTGTCTCTCAAGAGATAGCCATAGCAGTGTGAATTTCCCAATAAACCTTTCTCTGCAGCAACAGTGCCT